CAAACAACAATAACTACAGCATTAACAAGAAAACAGAACCAGGGGCCCTGTGACAGCTTTCTCGGCTGAGAGGGGAAGGGATGGAGGAGAGGCTTTGTTTCCACAAACCCCCTCGGGCAGTCCCGGTGCTCCTGCAGGACTCTGAGGAACACTCAGCTGGAACAGCAGGGATGAGCAGAGATCCTGGGCCGGTGGATGAGGTGGATCAGCAGCTCCGCGGCGGTGCCTGGCACTGCCACACGTCCCAGCAGGACAGGGGGTGCGAGGCCACCAACAAAGAGGGGAGAAGGAGAAGAAGCAGCAGCTCCGTCTGGGTGATGGCGAAAATTCCCTTCTCCCCACTGCAGCAGCTCCACGACCCAGCAAAAACGAAAATGTCTTTTTCCCGAAGCCGAAGAAAGCCAGCCAAAAACTGTCCCCACCCTCCTTTCCTGCCCCCTTCCTCCCCTGGGCCCGGCCACTCTTTGTCCTTTATCAATCACCCACTAAATACCCACAGTTAGGTTGTCTTCGCAGCTAATGGGTAAAAATTCCACGGGCAGGCCAGAACAACAAAACCAAAAAAAAAGGACACCTAACCCTCAACAATACTGTTGTGCCTTCCTTTGTTCTCGTCTTTGGTTGGTCACCCCCACAGAGCTCTCCCTGGTTATTGTTGTTTGGCTTTTGGGCATCGTCCCCATTTTCTTTTATTCCTTATTAAAGTGTTATTTTCTTGGTGCCAATGATCGCTCCTGCTCCTATTCTCTCACCACCCTCTGCCCTGAAATCAGGGGACCTAAATGTTTGTCACAGCCACCCTCATTGTGACACTAAGGAGACAGGAAAATCATGAAAATGCACACTCACTCATATTTAGTAACTACCAACTTGACATCCACCATTAATTCACATCTAAATTTAAAACAAGGACAGACTAATCCTGTCTTTAACTGCGAAAGAAAACTCAAACCTCCTTAAGGAAAGTAAAATTAAGGAGCACTATTATGAACACCATGCACTTTTTGTCCCCTCCAAATAAACATGTCAAATTGCAAGTTCTGATGTTTTATTCAAGCATATACATCCTTAGCTGGAAGATGCAGTTAAAAAATTAGTTTCTAGACTAGTATGAACTTTGTCCTAGAACATTGTGAACATTTTCCAATTTCCAGTGGAGAAAAAAAATAATAAAATCATAAAATTGTTCAGGTTGGAAAACTCTTCCAAGATCAGAGTCCTGCCATTCCCTCAGCACTGCCATGTCCACCACTAATCCATGTCCCCAGGTACCACATCCACACAGCTTTTAAATCCCTGTAGGGATGGGAATTCCACCACTGTTCTGGGTGGCTGTGACAGGGCTGAACAGCCCTTTCAGTGAAAAAATTCCCAATATCCAACCTAAAACACCCTAGCACAACTTGAGGTCATTTCCTCTCATCCTATCTCTTGTTCCCCAGCAGAGCCTGACCCCCACCTGGCTCCACCCTCCTTTCAGGGAGTTGTAGAGAGTGAGAAGGTCTCTCCTGAGCCTCCTTTTCACCAGGCTGAGCCGCCCGCAGCTCCCTCAGCTGCTCTGTATCAGCCTTGTGCTCCAGACTCTTCCCCAGCTCTGCTGCCTTTCTCTGGACATGCTCCAGCCCTTCAATGACTTTCTTGTCATGAAACTGAACCCAGGATTTGAAATGCCACAGCAGTTCCTAACACGGGACAGCCACTGCACTGGTCCTGCTGGCCACACTGTGGCTGGTACAGGCCAGGTGCCATTGGCCGTCTTGGCAACCTGGGTACACCTGGGCTCATGTTCAGCCACTGTTGACCAGGACCACCAGGTCCTTCTCCACCAGGCAGCTTTCCAGCCCCTCTGCTCCAAGCCTCAAGTGTTTTATGGTGTTGGTATGACCCAAATGTCAGACACCTTCCAAGCACAAACTTAAGTCAAGATTTCTAGAAAAAGAACATTGTTTAACTTAATAGCAGACACTACTGTTAGCTCCACAAAAGTCAGTAATAACACTGAATTATATCAACCCAGCTGTAATACTAAGAGGATCTGTAGATGGTGCAATGAAATCTGCTCAGGATGTCCAGGTTCATGTGGAAAACCACTAGGCAAGCATATGAACAACCATCACAGACAGTTAACTGAATACACAACGCAATGCTTTCTCTCCCCTCAGCTTATTGTCAGACTGCTGTCAGCACTAAAAAGCCTCCACTAACAATTCTGCTTACAGAAAAAAGTGACTGACTTGATAGACATTTCGCAAAACGTAAAATTGTAATTTATATTAAGAAACTACATATTAAAGTAGTGTGCTATTTAACAACAATTTTGAAGTTACTTTTGCATTCTCTTCAAAACACTGCTCTAGGAAAAACTCCTCCGTTTACAGGACTTCCCTGTAAACTTTAATAAGGCCATAAGTCTTCTGTGGTAGGCAATGTACTTAATCAAGCACCTTTTACAGAAACAGTAACAGTTTACCCTTCTTCGGAACACTTAGCTATTAAGTCTTTCTGAAAATGCAGTGAAAGATCTCAACCAGTATGTAACCTGAGGCACTCTTCCTTAATTAAGTTGATTAAAGCTAGCCCGAATGCTATATTCTGATATATACAGTATGGATTAAATGGCTGTAACTCTGTGCTCACAGCATCATGTTCTGACTATACTGCTATTGTATCTATACTACGAAAGACAACTATTGGCATGACCAAAAAGCCCTTAATTTAATCAAACTGCAAGAAGCACAGCACTGATGCTTCTACAAGTCCCTCTCTGCAGTGTCAAATACACCACAATAAAAGCTACTAAAATTATTAATCACTCCCCCCTTCCTCTTTTAAAAAAATCCGACATCTCCATGCAATACATAGTTTAGCACAAGCATTCATATCTGTTACTATTTTGAAAATTGGCAACTAACTGACAGATGCTACTACTAGACTCTCTGATCTGTTTCAAGGAACAGGCCCTATTCTCCATCCAAGACAGACTTATTCCATGCCCAAAGCAACAGCACGACAGCACCACCACCACTTGGTATTTAGATCAACTTATCTCTAAATCATGTGCCTTCAAGATGCTCAGGAACCCACAGACCCTTCACCCAACAAAGCCAGACTTTCTGTCTGTGCTGAGGCAGAGGCGGTCCTGAATACAGTTAACTGCTCAGCACCACCTCAGCATCCTCAGGGGCAGCTGGGCAGATTAAATCACAGATCTCCCTCCCTGGATCCTCTCTGCCAGCCCCAGAATACATTATGCCTTTTATTAATATATTTTTACAAATATTTTGTTGAGACCAATCAGAGTGAAACAGCTCTCTCACAGCCCAGTGCAGAGCCTTGCACAGCTTAATGCTGAAGGCATGCAGTGTGCAGGCCTCTGGAGGAGTGCAGAAGCAAATGTACAACATGAAGGAACTTGTGAGTACAAGAACTGTTATCTGTATGGTATTGGCATGTAAAGACTAGTCCAGCAAAAAAGGACACAGGACCATGTCACTCTGCCTGGATTGCACACCGCTATGATCACCACCAGGGTAAAGGACACCTGCAGAGAACACTCACCATGATGCAACTTCAGAACAGTCTAAGCAACAGTGGTTAACTGTTAGGAAGTTAAGAAGCTGCTTCCTAAAAGGAAACATGATCAAAATTGGTAGCGCAAACACTACCACTCCCTTCATTCCAAGGTATACGTAAACAGCCACTGTAAAAATGTAATTAAAATAATGTCTTGAAAGTACTTACTCTCTGGCAGATTTAATTCGATTAGCTAATATTAGGACAGCAGACTTAAAACCTTTACAGGCTGAGAAACAATTTAGCTCCTGCTGAGGAATATGCCTACTGAACCTGTGAGAAAGCTTGAGTCTGGTACTTTTTCCAAACCAAAGAAAAGCTATCAACTGAAAAATGGTTCAGTATTTCAATTCAAACATTTCTGACTCCACAGATAACAAAACAATCCAGTGATCCAACAGGAACCTCTCTTGGTTCCCACCATCTTTAACAGAAACAAGAGTAACTGATTTATTTTTTTTTCCCCACCATAAATCTTAATAGCTTTTACTATTAACCAGAAAGAATTAAACACCCTATTGAGATAATGGAACAGAATTACTATTTCCCAAGGTAACTAGACACTTCACAGCATACTAACCAAAGATATGAGAGACATTTAAATACACTGAAGTAAAAAACAATAATCTGGACCAGTTTTCTTTGGTTTATCTCAACCCTATTATCAGAAAAACAAATTTTTGTAGCTTTGTCATGCAACTCAAATGTCAGCACTCCTCTGCCACATATTCAAGACACACCTTCACCACACTTTCTTCCACATTGGTCCATCTTCTGTCTGAACAGCTACCTGTATTGTGAAACCACCATACATCTTCCCACTTTTAGCCCTTCAGTACCTGTTTGCCCTATGCCCATTAATGATGTTAATGGTCTACTAGCCATCTTCAGCTTCACAGCAATATAGACAAAGGGCTGATCACCATGGAAGGAAGGAGTCAGGGCTAAGAACAAAACCAAAAAAAAGTATCAGTATCTCCTTACCTTCTGTGCTTTATCCTTCTGAAATACAAAGACAGGTGGAGCAATGGCAGGTTTTTCTGTAAAAAGAGAAATCATTGGGGCTTTTTCCAACCACATTTTTATTGACTATTATGAAAATGTTATGTTCTATGATGCTTTTACCAACAATGAATCCCTAAGCTGTTTATATCTCAGTTACACATATTGTTTCTACCAGTTCCTGGTAATAGATGTTTATAAGGACTTGATCTCCAGAAGTAAAGGGGAGTGTTTTAAGGCAAACAACACAATTAAATGTCTGAAAGCTATTTGTTTCCCCTTCAGATGGCTTTCAATCTAGTACTTGTACCATATTTTAGTACATCAGAAGGAAAAGACCCTTTGCTGCAGCAGTTCACTAGCTGACCAGATGCTTTTCCTTCCCCACTGTCACGCATTAATGAAAAGGAAGTTTGATGTACATCCATACATATCCCCTTCTTAAAGGTCACCTAACACTGACATTTGATTTCACTAGTATTTCATTATCATTGAAAACTTTAGAAAAGTCCTAAATCACTATGTGCAGGTCTAAAATTCAAACCGGATGTATTACACATTAAAGAGGAACCAGTCTTTTCTGCATAATTTAAGACTACATGTACTTTCATCTTAAAGCTCTGAATCAAATATTAGCAGAATGCTATTTCCTAAATAAGCACATCAGCATCTAGTCTACAAGAGCAGAATCAATGTCTAGAATGAGTGTGTATTTCCATTGTCCTTCAAGATTCCACAACTATCTCAGTGTCCTGAATAACAAAAATACACATACACAGGGGGAGTGTGTGTGATAAAGCAGAGAATTCCTCAGAGTTCAACAAACTGGTGCACCGTGTGTTTGAGTTATACTTGAGAAGCTGCACATGCACTATGCAGTCAGCAGCCCTCCTCCATGTTTGTAGGGCTAAAGATGAGTACAATATTTCAGACTATCTTTCAGTCTGGAAAATGGGATTTAGGAAGAGCTAGATTTGCAAAGAAGTAAGCCAAAAAGTTCCAACTTTGCAATTATCCAGTCTTACAAACAAGTTTAGACATCTAAGAAAATTAAAAATTTTAAAACTTTCAGAGCTTGAAAGGCTAGCATAAAAAAAAGGGAATATAAAGCTATCAAGAAGAATTACCTTGGACGAAAAAAAAGAACAGTATCACAAAATCTTCCATAAATCAGCTGCAGCATCAGTAAAGTGCTTGGATCACCATATAAGGAAAAAGGGATGAAACTGTCCATTTGGGAAATGCTAGTGTTAGATCAGTTTGGCTGGAAAAGTGAAATTTTAATTTACAGACACAAAATTATGAAAATAATTACCAGAACAGTGCATTTAATTGTGAGGGTAGAAGAGCCTCCTTCTACTTTTCTGTGAATCTAACTCAAAGGGATAACACAACAAAGCAAAAAAACACTGCAAGACCGATCTTGCAAGATTGGCATAACTTGTTCTATAAAAGGTAAAATTAATCAAGAAATTAAACTACTTATGACATCATTTTGCTTGCTTTTTTTTCCCTTTTTTATTCCTTTATTTTTTAAGTTAATCTATCCATCAAATACTGCAGAATCTTAAAAATGCTTATTAATAAGAGCAATGCAGGCAATCCATTTCAGAAGTGAAAACAATACAGACCCTTAAATTAATACCTGTCCCAAGAACCAGAGTGTGTTGAAATAAGCCAGGGATCCATTTTCATTCCCTTGGCCTCAGCATGGAAGGCTTCACTGAGGCAATGGCCAAGCTGTTGACCCTTGACTTCAAAGTGACAGTTATTTCTTAATAACATGTGGTATACTTTAGTGTTCATTAGTGCTACTGCTACAGCAGCCTGCCCTCTGCCAAACCAATTAATAGGGAGATCGACCAGAATGTGAGACTTGATTGTCATGCACACCTTACAAGAGACTCCTGCACCAAATTCCACAAATACCAAGGAGAACCAAACAAAAAACTACTTGTCTGTCTAGTACATAATAAAGGACGGAGGTACTGAGAGAGAAGAAAGCAAAGAAAAACAGATCCAACAACAATGCAGAGTGAAGAGAAAAGCATGGGAAAACTGGTGAAAGACATAATGGGTAGCCAGAGAAATTAACAAAAAGTAACACAACAAAATAGGAGATGGAGTCCAGTGATTGAAAACTAAGCACTTGGGGAAAAAAGAAGACAGATGTCCAGAACAGCAGAAAGCTCCCAGGAAAAAAAGAAACAGATGAAAGAAAAACGAAAAATAGAGTGAAAAAACTCCAACTATTTGACATTGCATCCAGCTATGACAAATGAGAATGGCAAAAGGATCTAATAAAGCAAACTACGGCCAGGCCTGTTAATACACCTGAAAAAGGGAATACTGGTGCAACATTTGATAGTCTTTGTGCACTGAAGGAACACAGTCATCCAGTATTCAAGGTCCAAGAATTTCACCACTGATCTTGTTGACTGTGAGACAAACTGACAGGGTCAGGAATGACTGTGAGACAACAGACACTCAGAGCTAACAACTGTACCAGTGCTTACTCAGGAACAGACACAGGGAACACTTGTTCATTTCGTCCTTTCTGAAGTCTGCAACAAGAACACAGTGCTAGAAATATCTCCCTAATTCTAGCCCAAGGCAAGAAGGGATCACTGGATTGCCTAATCTGACTATCGTCATTAAATACTGCGTATTTTTCTAAGCCTTATTTAAATTTTGGTTAACCATTTTCATTGAAGGCATCAAAAGCAAAGTATTACTGCCCTCAATCATCCATTTCTGCACTTGGTAAAAAATTCTAGTGTTAAATTTCCCATTCAAATGTCCAGCTCCTGCTTTTGGTTCCTATTTCTAGTTATGTTTTTAAATGCATTTATGTAGAGCTCTCTACCATTTCATGCTTTTCATACAAAAGCACTTACACATACCATGTTTCCATCAACAGAAGAACACACATACTAGGTTTTAGTTTTGCAGATGTTAGGTAGCTCTTTGGTTTTTCTAGTCAAATGCTGGTTCAAAAGAAGAGTTCCACTGTTATTTGTACTAGTCAACCTCTGGGCCAGATGGTCATGTTCTCAAGCATGCTTTTGTTAAGCAGGGTGTCTGAGGAATGACCTATGGTAAAATGGATCTGCCTGGTCCACTAACCTGTCAGCAACTTATAAAGAAAATAAAGCATGATATATGAAGGAAAAACCCTCAACCTTCAAACTTCAGGTAGAATTCATGTAAGAGAACATGAGCTTTCCTTCAACAGATGAGCAGTCAGAGTACACAGTTCTTAAAAACTGAGGATTAGACTTCTTTTTTTTTCTTCAGAGAAGCATATAATTAGAAAATCGACATTTCTCCAGATCTTTGTTTTGCCATGTTTCTAAGTTGGCACTGATAAAGGTGTTCAGGTAAAGTCCAAGCATGTAAAAAGGAAAGCAAACTTCAATAATTAACATCAGAGACGGTACCTCTCCAATCTCAAGATCTGGAATAATAAAACCTGAATGGTTTTAGGCTGTCAAATCAAATTGAATCCACAACTGAAAACAAGCTGAATCCACAGAACTCATTCCTGCAGTTTATTCACTTTGCAGGTATTTCAACCTGCAAGAATAACTACAAAAACCTCCAAGAGCTGGATTTCACAGGCTAAATTTCTTTAACATTTTACCATCAAGTCATTACTATCAATAAATGCCCTATGTCCTGTCAGAAAAACATGTCCTATTAAAAGCTGTGGAAATCAGAATGCAGAAACAGAAAATACTACCTCCATTGCTCATGAAGAGATAAAATCTTCAAGTCATATATACTATTTACTATGAGATTTTTAACCTAGATGTGTGACCACTAGTAGCTGTAGCAAACTCCCATGGCAACCACATTTCCCACAGCTAGGCAAAACATCCACTCACATGAATGCAACCACTGCAGCTGGTGCACCTCTAGCAGCCACAAGATGTCAGACCTTTATTGCAGCATGAAATGACTCCTTGAAAAAAAATCCAAGGGGTCCAGGGCAACAAGAAAAGCTTCTGTAGGTACATTGGTGATACGAGAAAGGCTGGGGAAAAGAGATATAAGAGAGGCTGGGGGCCCTCTCCAGCAGGAAACAGGAGACATGGTTTCCGTGGATATGGAGAGCTGAGGTACTCAATGATGTCTTTGACTCTGTGTTCCAAAAGAACTGCTCCAAACACTCCACCCAAGTTATAAAAGGGGAAAGCAGCAGGCACTGGCAGAATGAAGGACCACTTGCTATAGGAAAAGGCCTGAGACCATCTAAGGAAGCTGAAGGTGCACAAGTCCATGGGCACTGATAAAATGCATCTGAGTCCTAAAGGATTGTCAGAGGAAGTGTCTAAGCCATTCTCCATTCATTGAGAAGTCATGGCCATCTGAGGAAGTACCCAGTGACTGGAAAAGGGGAAATATAACCCCCTTTATAAAAATGGAGAAAAGGCAGACTTGGGGCCCTACAGGCTGGCCAGCCTCACTTCTGTGCCTGGCAAAATCATGGAGCAGACCCTCCTGGAAACTGTGCTAAGGCACATGGAAAATAACAGTGATTGGCAAGAGCCAACATGGCTTCACTTAGAGCAAACCACACCTGACAAATTTGGTTCGGTGATTGTGTTACAGTGTTGGTGGACAAGGGAAAAGCAACTGACAGTCTACCTAGACTTGTGAAGAACATTTGACACTGTCCCACAGGAGATCCTTCTCTCCAAATTGGACAGACAGACCACTCCCTGGATAAGGAATTTGCTGGTGGCTGCACTCAGAGTTGCAGTCAATAGCTCACTGTCAAAGTGGAGACCAAGTTTGGGACCAGCACTGCTTAGTATCTCTGTTGGTGACTTGAACAGTGGGATTGAGAGCACCCACAAGAATGTGGTGCCAATGACACCAAGCTGTGTGGTGTGGCTGATACGCTGGAGGGAAGGGATGTCATCCAGACAGGCTGGAGAGATGGGACTGTGCAAACCTTATGCATGTCTACAAGGCCAAGTGGAACTCCTGCACTTGTGTCAGGGCAGTCCCAAACACAAACACAGGCTAAGGG